TAAAAACTCAACTCGTCGTGTTTGGAGGACAAAGAATGCTGAGTTGCATCCAAAGAACACCATACCTACTGTGAAGCATAGGGGTGGAAACATCATGCTTTGGGGCTGTTTTTCTGCGAAGGGACCAGGATGACTGATCCGTGTAAAGGAAAGAATGAATGGGGCCATGTATCGTGAGATTTTGAGTGAAAACCTCCTTCCATCAGCAAGGGCATTGAAGATGAAACGTGGCTGGGTCTTTCAGCATGACAATGATCCCAAACACACCGCCCGGGCAACGAAGGAGTGGCTTCGTAAGAAGCATTTCAAGGTCCTGGAGTGGCCTAGCCAGTCTCCAGATCTCAACCCCATAGAAAATCTTTGGAGGGACTTGAAAGTCCGTGTTGCCCAGCGACAGCCCCAAAACATCACTGCTCTAGAGGAGATCTGCATGGAGGAATGGGCCAAAATACCAGCAACAGTGTGTGAAAACCTTGTGAAGACTTACAGAAAACGTTTGACCTGTGTCATTGCCAACAAAGGGTATATAACAAAGTATTGAGAAACTTTTGTTATTGACCAAATACTTATTTTCCACCATAATTTGCAAATAAATTCATTAAAAATCCTACAATGTGATTTTGTGGATTTTTTTTTCTCATTTTGTCTGTCATAGTTGACGTGTACCTATGATGAAAATTACAGGCCTCTCTCATCTTTTTAAGTGGGAGAACTTGCACAATTGGTGGCTGACTAAATACTTTTTTCCCCCACTGTACCCATAGATACCTCACACATGTGAACACTCAGAAGCCCATAGATTGGTTCTGTATTGTAGTAACTGTGTAAATGTCAAGGATATGTATCAGATGATAGAGATAGTGATTTATAACAGGTTGGTCTAGGACTCTAGTGTGTCTGTCCTCCCTCTGTCATCCCTCTGTCCTCCCTCTGTCATCTCTCTGTCCTCCCTCTGTCATCCCTCTGTCCTCCCTCTGTCATCCCTCTGTCCTCCATCTGTCCTCCCTCTGTCCTCGTCCTGGATGATGGGTAGCACAACCTAGTCTGTCGGCTCTAGTCTTATCTTTCGATTTCAGCTGAGGAACACACACATAAACACACATACGTGCCCATACACGCACCGTATGAACACACACACACACACACATCCACTCAAGTGGTCGTAACCTGAGGGTTAATGGCATGTTGTTCATCTGTTTATCCGTCCGAGAGGAGATTGGGCTATATTTAAATTGTAGTGTTAATTCAGTGTTTTTTTAGTGAATAGGGTGCCATTTGGAACATAACCAACTACTTTCCAGTTATCAGTAGGTCAGATCAGTGGATCAGTGTTGGCGCTGGACTGTTAGATTTCTCCTCCAGTTATCAGTAGGTCAGATCAGTGGATCAGTGTTGGCGCTGGACTGTTAGATTTCTCCTCCAGCCAGAGAAGCTGTGATGGAACTGTCAAAGGTTTTATCAGACTGAAGTCCTCCCACTGTGTTTATTACACTGGGAGTTGTAGACTTTCCTCCTCTTAAAAACATAAAGCTTTATGCCCTAGCAACCATATCCTGGCCTTAAGGGGGATCTGAAGATCATTCTAGTGGTGGAGCTGTATGAGATCATTTCAGAGATTTCAAAATAAATCAAAACCGCACACTAGAAAATATGTGTATTGCATAACCAGTACCTTATGTTATTTCAGTTGTTCCTTTCATAATCAGTATCTTGCTATGTTATTTCAGTTGTTCCTGTCATAACCAGTACCTTGTTATGTTATGTCAGTTGTTCCTGCCATAACCAGTACCTTGTTATGTTATTTCAGTTGTTCCTGTCATAACCAGTACCTTATGTTATTTCAGTTGTTCCTGTCATAACCAGTACCTTGTTATGTTATTTCAGTTGTTCCTGTCATAACCAGTACCTTATGTTATTTCAGTTGTTCCTGTCATAACCAGTACTTTGTTATGTTATTTCAGTTGTTCCTGTCATAACCAGCACCTTGTTTTGTTATTTCAGTTGTTCCTGTCTTAACCAGTACATTGTTATGTTATTTCAGTTGTTCCTGCCATAACCAGTACTTTGTTATGTTATTTCAGTTGTTCCTGTCATAACCAGCACCTTGTTTTGTTATTTCAGTTGTTCCTGTCTTAACCAGTACCTTGTTATGTTATTTCAGTTGTTCCTGCCATAACCAAAACCTTGTTATGTTATTTCAGTTGTTCCTGTCATAACCAGCACCTTGTTTTGTTATTTCTCTAGTGGTGATGATGATGCCTCTAGTAATGTACTTTATGGTGGATGTCTAGATGTGATGTGTTATAGCTTCTCTTTCCAGAGTCTGTTGGAGTCCATGGTGGATGCTGCGGAGGGTCTGTGTCCCCATGTGATGAGGAAGACTAACCTTCGTCAGGACCTGATCAAAGCCAGCACAGCTAAGATGGTGGTCCCCCGTAGCTTTGTCAAGAACACCCTGCTGGAACAGTCTGGAGTTGACATCATCAACAAGATCAGGTGAGACTAGAGTTTTATCATGTGTATATATGGCAAGATACTTTACTTCACACTAATGGTGTCCCAACTTTCTAATGTTGCTAAATTCACCATTATTTTGCTATTGTCCTGAAATCACTAAGCTCGATTTCCTTGTTCTCTTCGCTGAATGAACTACGGCCTCTGGCTGGCAAGCCTAAGTACATTGAGAAGCAGAATCATGGTGTACTACTTTTATATTGTGTTATCTACAGAGATGTTGTGTTGTGTCCAGATGTGTCTGTATCCTCTGTCACTGTCTGTGATAGGCTCATACAGTGAGGGAAAAAAGTATTTGATCCCCTGCTGATTTTGTACGTTTGCCCACTGACAAAGAAATGATCAGTCTATAATTTTAATGGTAGGTTTAATTGAACAGTGAGAGACAGAATAACAACATATAAATCCAGAAAAACGCATGTCAAAAATGTTATAAATTGATTTGCATTTTGACATGCGTTTTTCAGGATTTTTTTGTTGTTATTCTGTCTCTCACTGTTCAAATAAACCTACCATTAAAATTATAGACTGATCATTTCTTTGTCACTGATTGTTAGATTCACACTTATTTGTCCTATTGTTCGACAGTGTGCAGGTCTCCATCCTCCTAGTGTAGATTCCCACATTGTCAATTAGAACGCCACAGGGTTGTTCACAGCCTGCTGGTCTGATGGCCCACACAACCTTGCCTCAGTGTTGACCCCGTGAAGTGGGAATGAATGAAGCATCTCTCCTCTTTCTTACTCCATTCCTCTGTTTCTCTCCTCTCCTCTCCATTCCTTTGTTTCTCTCCTCTCCTCTCCATTCCTCTGTTTCTCTCCTCTCCTCTCCATTCCTCTGTTTCTCTCCTCTCCTCTCCTCTCTGTTTCTCTCCTCTCCTCTCCATTCCTCTGTTTCTCTCCTCTCCTCTCCTCCTCTGTTTCTCTCCTCTCCTCTCCATTCCTTTGTTCCTCTCCTCTCCTCTCCTCTCCTCTCCTCTCCTCTCCTCTCCTCTCCTCTCCTCTCCTCTCCTCTCCTCTCCATCCCTCTGTTTCTCTCCTCTCCTCTCCATCCCTTGTTTCTCTCCTCTCCTCTCCATTCCTTTGTTTCTCTCCTCTCCTCTATCCCTTTGTTTCTCTCCTCTCCTCTCCTCTCCTCTCTGTTTCTCTCCTCTCCTCTCCATTCCTCTGTTTCTCTCCTCTCCTCTCCATTCCTCTGTTTCTCTCCTCTCCTCTCCATTCCTTTGTTTCACTCCTCTCCTCTCCATTCCTCTGTTTCTCTCCTCTCCTCTCCTCTCTGTTTCTCTCCTTCTCCCCCTCCATCCCTTTTTTTCTCTCCTCTCCTCTCCTTCCTTTGTTTCTCCCCTTTCTCTCCTCCATTCATTTTTTTCCTCTCCTTCTCCTCTCCTCTCTGTTTCCCTCCTCTCTCCTTCCCTCTCCTCCTGTTTCTCCTCTCCTCTCCCCCCCTCTCTGTTTTCTTCCCTCTCCTCTCCTCTCCCATCCTCCTGTTTTTCTCTCCTCTCCTCTCCATTCCTTTGTTTCTCTCCTCTCCTCTCCATTCCCTGTTTCTCTCCTCCTCCCTCTCCATCCTCTTGTTTCTCTCCTCTCCATTCCTTTTGTTTTCTCTCCTCTCCTCTCCTCTCTGTTTCTCTCCTCTCCTCTCCTCTCTGTTTCTCTCCTCCCCATTCCTTTGTTTCTCTCCTCTCATCTCCTTCCTCCGTTTCTCTCCTCTCCTCTCCATCCCCCTGTTTCTCTCCTCTCCTCTCCATTCCTCTGTTTCTCTCCTCTCCTCTCCATTCCTCTGTTTCTCTCCTCTCCTCTCCATCCCTGTTTCTCTCCTCTCCTCTCCTCTCTGTTTCTCTCCTCTCCTCTCCATTCCTTTGTTTCTCTCCTCTCCTCTCCATTCCTCTGTTTCTCTCCTCTCCTCTCCATTCCTTTGTTTCTCTCCTCTCCTCTCCATTCCTCTGTTTCTCTCCTCTCCTCTCCATTCCTCTGTTTCTCTCCTCTCCTCTCCATTCCTCTGTTTCTCTCCTCTCCTCTCCATTCCTCTGTTTCTCTCCTCTCCTAGTGAGGTAAAGCTAAGCCTGGCTTCCTTCCTCTCAGACCGTATCGTAGATGAGATCCTAGAAGCCCTGTCTGGCTCTCAGCACACACTGGTGAGTCTTAATCATGCCTAGAGATACAGTACAATCACTACTCATGATAACCATTACAGCACATTAGCTTGAATATTCTGTGAAATTCTAACATTAATTCTATGATTCATACTGACTCAGTCACTGGTTCACTAGTACAGGTGTAGGATCATATAGGTCGTATATAGTAATACATAGTAACAGTGACCATAGTAATAATGAACATCGTAACAGTAATAGTGACCATAGTAACAGTAGTAGTGACCATAGTAACAGTAATAGTGACCATAGTAACAGTAATAATGAACATAGTAACAGTAATAGTGACCATAGCAACAGTAATAGTGACCATAGTAACAGTAATAGTGACCATAGTAACAGTAATAGTGACCATAGTAACAGTAGTAATAAACATAGTAACAGTAAAAGTGACCATAGCAACAGTAATAGTGACCATAGTAACAGTAATAGTGACCATAGAAATGGTAATAGTGACCATAGTAACAGTAATAGTGACCATGGTAACAGTAATAGTGACCATAGTAACAGTAATAATGAACATATTAACAGTAATAGTGACCATAGTAACAGTAATAGTGACCATAGTAACAGTAATAGTGACCATAGTAACAGTAATAGTGACCATAGTAACAGTAATAGTGACCATAGTAACAGTAATAATGAACATAGTAACAGTAATAGTGACCATAGCAACAGTAATAGTGACCATAGTAACAGTAATAGTGACCATAGTAACAGTAATAGTGACCATAGTAACAGTAATAGTGACCATAGCAACAGTAATAGTGACCATAGTAACAGTAATAGTGACCATAGCAACAGTAATAGTGACCATAGTAACAGTAATAGTGACCATAGCAACAGTAATAGTGACCATAGCAACAGTAATAGTGACCATAGTAACAGTAATAGTGACCATATTAACAGTAATAGTGACCATAGTAACAGTAATAGTGACCATAGCAACAGTAATAGTGACCATAGTAATAGTGATAGTGACCATAGTAACAGTAATAGTGACCATAGCAACAGTAATAGTGACCATAGTAACAGTAATAGTGACCATAGCAACAGTAATAGTGACCATAGTAACAGTAATAGTGACCATAGCAACAGTAATAGTGACCATAGCAACAGTAATAGTGACCATAGTAACAGTAATAGTGACCATATTAACAGTAATAGTGACCATAGTAACAGTAGTAATAAACATAGTAACAGTAAAAGTGACCATAGCAACAGTAATAGTGACCATAGTAACAGTAATAGTGACCATAGAAATGGTAATAGTGACCATAGTAACAGTAATAGTGACCATGGTAACAGTAATAGTGACCATAGTAACAGTAATAATGAACATATTAACAGTAATAGTGACCATAGCAACAGTAATAGTGACCATAGTAATAGTGATAGTGACCATAGTAACAGTAATAGTAGTGTAATAGTCATTCTGTCTTGTTCCCCCCTAGGCTGACCACCTGGTGAGGAAGGGGCGTCCTCTGGTCCAGCAGGAATCTATGGACCTGGACGTACCCGAGGAGAGGGCTCCTAAACGGGCTACCACAGAGCTGAATGAGGCAGAAAGGCTGGAGGACCTGGAGACATGCATGGTACACTACACTACAGTACCATATGTTTTGTGTGAGGGCCAGGATCCTGTTCATTCTGTTTACTGTCATGGGTTCCTCACTCATTTGGTGTTCCAGACATTTCTAATCTCAGACTGAGTCTTATAGGGAGATGAGCTAACCTTGGCTCATGTCTGGTTATCGTGCTGAAAGGCCAAAGTCCTTAATCTACCATTAAGGTTAACTGGTTCTATCTAACTGTAATGATTTAGCAGATCCTCCTGCTGTGCCTACTGGCCATGGTAAGATGGTAAAATAGGGAGGTTGATTCATGACGGTAGGATGGTAGGATAGGGAGGTTGATTCATTATGGTAGGATTGGGAGGTTGATTCATTGTGGTAGGATGGTAAGATAGGGAGGTAGATTCATTATGGTAGGATGTTAGGATAGGGAGGTTGATTCATTATGGTAGGATGGTAAGATAGGGAGGTTGATTCATTATATTAGGATGGTAAGATAGGGAGGTTGATTCATTAGGGTAGGATAGGGAGGTTGATTCATTATGGTAGGATGGTAGGATAGGGAGGTTGATTCATTATGGTGGGATGGTAAGATAGGGAGGTTGATTCATTATGGTAGGATGGTAAGATAGGGAGGTTGATTCATTATGGTGGGATGGTAAGATAGCGAGGTTGATTCATTATGTTAGGATGGTAAGATAGGGAGGTAGATTCATTATGGTAGGATGGTAGGATAGGGAGGTTGATTCATTATGGTAGGATGGTAAGATAGGGAGGTTGATTCATTGTGGTAGGATGGTAAGATAGGGAGGTTGATTCATTATGGTAGGATGGTAGGATAGGGAGGTTGATTCATTATGGTAGGATGGTAAGATAGGGAGGTTGATTCATTATGGTAGGATGGTAGGATAGGGAGGTTGATTCATTATGGTATGATGGTAGGATAGGGAGGTTGATTCATTATGGTAGGATGGTTCTAAGGGATTCATCATATTGTCTTATTGGCTACTGACCCTCATCCTATTGTTTTAAACAGACAGGTTTAATCTAGGCTAGTTGACTGACTGGATCTATTATATATTTAGTTCTGGCCATCGTTAGTGTGTCTGCTGTTGTTTACACAGCCATTAAGGAGGAGGGGTTGGATTACACAGCCATTAAAGAGATGGGGTTGGATTACACAGCCATTAAGGAGATGGGGTTGGATTACACATCCATTAAAGAGATGGGGTTGGATTACACAGCCATTAAAGAGATGGG